AATGAGCAGGTGCCAGTGGAAAAACAGTATGTGATCGTGTTATTAAAGACTGCATCGTCATACACAGATATAATGGAAGCTGAACTAAAATTATACGGGCACCTTGGATGTTGACTCCAACACACTGCTGCTGCAAAAGCGTCTGTGGGAGCAGAGACAGCGGCCGGGTCCACATTACCTCTGCCACCAGCAGACGGATGGGGCCGAGCTTGGGACCAGCAGCTACAGGGCCATGGCCAGCTCCCTCTTGCTTTCCAACACACTTCAAAGTGCACTTGGAAAGAAAGCCGTCTCCAGGCCTCTGCCCAGCACCATTTCCAAGCAGGTTCCCCTCCTCCTGCATCCCTCTCCCTCCCCACCAGCCGTCTGCCCACAGAGGGAGCCCGGCCACAGCAGGGCCACGCGCAGGAGCAGCTCCCTCACCAGGATGAGCCCCAACAAGCCCGGGCAATTGAGTCCTGATGGAATCAGATGGGAAACCACGGGGATTAACCCATCCTGGCACAGCCACGCCTGCTACGCGCATTTCCACGGCCGTTTCTTCCCAGCCATCACCACCACAGTGCCCTGCAATGCAGGAGCAACCTTCACCTCCAGGCTGGTGATGGGCAAGGAAGCCCCACAACGTGTGTCCCCCCCAGCAGGCACACAGCCCTCTGCCCTGGCCACATGCCCCATGTCCCCTCACCGGCTTTCTCCAGGTTCATGGTGCAGGCTGCTTGCCCTGGCGCGGTGGTGGCCAGCTCGTGGGGGGATGCTGGTGGCTCCTCCGTAGCCTCCGTCAGGGATGGGCACCAGCCCTGCTGCGGCAAGACCTGCACCCACGAGAAGAAACGGGCTCCTGTGACTCCTGTCCGCCCCATGCTGACCTCTCCGCGCCATCCCACCAGGGCTGCCCCATCGCCCTGACCCTAAAATCTGGTACGCTCCCCAGGTGTGTGGGGGGGCCCTGCTGAGGCACCCGCTGGCAGCTGGAGTTTCACTGAGTTTTTTGGGAGGCATGAGCACAGAGCGGGTGGCAGAGGACAGAAAAGTGGGACTGCTCATGGCAGGGAAAAGCCAAAGCCCTTGACTGCAGCAGGCAGTGCTGACCTACAGCTGCAGGCTAGGAGTGCCTGTGACTGCAGCTTCGAGACTCAAGCTGATAAGAAAGATGGGGACAAAAACCAAATGTAAGCCAGAATTAGATCAGCACAGCGAGTGCCAGGAGCAGAGCTCTGATTCCTCCAACCCCTCTGGCCTGACAGGGCTCGATGCAGGCTGGCTCCTCCATCCCTCTCCTGCTGCTTTGTCCCAGCCAGCTCCAGTGACCTGCTGTGGGTCTGCGGGACACTCCAGGGACCCCATCCCCTCAAGGGGACGTCAGCGTCAGGAGGCTGCAGTGATGCATGGCCTTCCAAACCACTCACAGGTCCTCTCCCCATTGCTTGGGCACTGCAAAGCATCATTAGATTGTTCCACAGCTCTGCTCTCCAGAGTATTTTTGTCAAGATGAACTTATCAAGTTGCCCGCAGATCTGCCCATAAACAACTGTTTCCATCAGCTTGATCATTCAGTTGTCTATATTCTACGTGGCCTTAGAGAAAGGCTGTGGCTTGCACACAGCATTGAACACGAAGTTCTGGGGCCTTTATGGAACATTGTGCCAGCCCATGTGAAGCACAAGCACCCCGGGCTCTGCCCCAGCAGGTCCCACTACGTGTTCGTTTCTCACTTGCAAGCCCTTGCTCACTTGCCACAAAGTGCCAGTGAGAGGCAACCTGTGAGATGGAGCATGGCTTCCAGCTCGGGTAAAACTGAAGAAGAAATCTGGAGGGAGAGAGGGAAAAAGAATACAGGGAAGGTAACAAAAAAAAAATAATCTGGGTCTATTGTACGAATCTGCATTCATTGGATTGAAGGAAAAAATAATCTATTTTTAATGCCATCATTAAAAAAAGCTTTAGTGGAGTGGATGCATCTGCAAAGGTATGTCACTGATCCGCTGAGCTTGCATTATTGTTCCCCCATCCCGGTCAAAAGTTCCTTTTCTTACTTATACCTTATCTAGGAGCACGTGGCATCACCTGCCAGTGAGCAACATCAAAGAAGCACGTCTCGCCCTGGCAAATGCACCGCGGTGAATACTCATTACACACAACATGCTTCTGAAATGATTTAGGAGGCAGCAGCAGCACCCAGGCAGGAGCCAAGACTGGAGCAGCTGCATTTCTGAGGTGTCTTTCACTTGAAGCTCCAGAAGGCTTCTGCTGGAGGGAATTCAAGTCTCATTCAAGGCCGGTGTGAGATAACAAGGTGTTTTCCTTCTTTTCAAAGGAGGAAAATTTAAATGGGTTGCCTGGAGTCCAAAATGAACTGGTGACAGCAACACAGACAGGATCCTGGTGTCAGGGCACTGTCCTCTGCCCCTGCCTGCCCTCCACCTGCTCTCCTCTTCCTCCTCCTCCTGGCAAACCCTGGCATGGGGCAGGCAGTGATCTCCCTCCTGCCTGGACTTCTTCCAGCTACCTAGCCCAGGAATAGCACAGAAAACGTTACTCTGGGTTTTTCCCCAGCATTTTCAATGCCTTCAGACTTTCCAGAGAGCTGGGACACTCTTTCCACACCACGTCCCTCGCCAGTGCAACACGTGAGGACTAAAGCAAAGGGCCACAAGGAACTGTTCTGAAAAGGGCTGAGAGGGGGGAGCCTTCACACCGCCCCGAATAGTGCTGGGCAGCACTGCCCCATATATCCACACTCCCTGCGGAGCCAGGCAGGATGCAGGATGCACGCTCCTTTGCCAGGCCCAGCCAGGCGCAGGCTGTTGAGGTGTCTGGGTGTTGATCCCTGCTGGGGAACTCACGCTAGCAGGGAGAGCTGCACATTTCTGCGATGTGTTTGCCCACCCCTGCACTGAATCAAGCACTTCTTACCTGGAGGGCCAGGCAGACACCGCGTGGGCTTGCAGAGCCTGGCCAGCTCACACCACAGATTTGATGCTGGACCAGCACAGGCAGCAGAGGGACCTGGGCAGAGAACTCCTCTTCGCTCCCAGTGACGAGCACGTCCTGCCCGCGTCCTGAGACAGGGCAAAAAGTTACTGTGGACATCCCATGGGGACAGACACAGTCAGCCCAGCTCCTCCCTGCCAGCCTGCGCTGTCCTGAAAGGGGAGAGCTGCAGGGGTGCTTCCCAAAGCCACTGGTGGGGGACTGGCAGCTGGGAGCCCCACCAGGCTCGGCAGCCCCCGCTGCGGTGCTGGGCAGTGCCCAGCAGCCAGGCTCCTCGCTGGCTCCTCGCTGCATGTGCCTCACCGAGAGAACAAGCGCTATAAAAGCCCTCAGTAGTACTAAAAATGTTGGCAGGGTTAAATAGAGAAAGGAGCCCTTCAGGGTAAGACTGGCTGCCAACAACTTGTGCAGCAGTAATGGAGGTTCAGGCTGGGTCCTCCTGCATCCTCACAGAGCTCTGCAGGGCAGACAGACCCAGGCAAGCTCCACCTTGCAGTGCCCCAGCTGCCTGATCTCTCCCCTGCCAGCAGCCCCCCCAGGACACCAGCATCCCCTTCCCATCTCTGCCCCTTGTCCAGTCGCTTGGCTTCCTGTGACGCTATCTCTGAAAAGCTGCCAAACCCCGTTTGCATCACCAAAACCGGACAGACGGACCCTGCCAGGGTGAGCTCACTCCGCTGCCCCCAATGCTTTTTTATTTGTCATGCAACCAAGCCCAAAAGGAAGCACGGTGGCAGCATTTGTGTCAATCAGAAGGAAAACAAGATCTCAAGGAGTTTTTTTTGCTGTCTCCGTGCTCATCTGCTAGAGGAACAGTGACTGGCAAGGACTGAGCCAGGGCAAGGCCATGGTGCTGAGGCCAGGGGAGGGGAAGCTCTTCAAATACCTTGGGGACCCTGCACACCCACAGCGGGGTACTCCTGGGAGTGAAGAGGACCCCGAGCCAAAACCACCTGCCAGCACCCTCCCACCCACCAGCCTCAAGCACCCCTGCTGCAGGCAGCCAAACAGCGTCTCCGGCTGGCAGGAAGAAATCAGGTAAAACCCCACTAATGCAGTTTCTCCCCTAAAATCATCAGGAGGCGCTTGGGCCACAGCTGGAAGCAGCATCTGGATGGAGAAGTGCCTCGCCTTTCAGCTCTCTGAAGAAGTCAGTTCATCAGTCTGCACTTCATCTTTGTCTCTAATTAGCCATAACATTTCATCCACGCTGTGAAAACTGAGCATTTCAAAAGTGCTTGCAGATGCCCGGACAAAAGGCAAAGGCACGCACTGAGCTCATGTCCCTGCCTTCGGCCACGGCACAGGAGGAGGCAGCCTACAGCCAGAGCTCCCTGGAAGGACGAGAAGCCCCATGTCCAGCACCCCGATGCCCCGATGGGCACAGCCGTGGCCATCCCAGCAGCATCCCTGTTCCTTCCAGCAAGCAGTGCCCGGCTAAACCACCTCCAGCACAGCAGCATAAAGCCCCTAAAGGGCATTTCAGCCCCTCTGTGGAAAGCCAGGACCACAGCGATGGGAAGCACTGTCCCTGAGGGTGGCTGCAGGCCCCAGCACGCAGCCGCCCGCCTGCACGGTGGCTCAGCTTTTTGGGGAGAGGGCACGGGGCCGAACTCACCGATGTGGTCTGCGTGCGGCGGGGGCACGGCGAGCCCTTCCAGTGGAGGCGAGCCGAAAGCTGAGCAGGAGCCCTGCACGTTCCCTGCCGTGCTTCGTCCCCGTCTCTTTCTTACATTTTAACCATGAACCTTTCTGCCCCGGCTTCCTTACTCACGGGCTGGGAGGGAACCGAGGCACCGCTGCGCTCACCCTCCGCCTCGCCTAAAGCTCCCGCCCGCTTCCGAGACCGTTTCTCACCCCCCCAGCCCGTGCCAGAAAGCAATGCGAAAAATGCAGGCTTGCTGGTTCCCGGCCTCTCCTCGCCCAAGTGTGAGAAAGGGCGTGAGCGGGGGCGGGCTGAGCCCCACGGGCACTCACCGGCTGGCCGAGGGTCCCGCTCGCACGCAGCTCCCGCAGGGGGTCCCGGAGCCCAGGTCCTGCGGGCTGTGAGCATGGCACGGGGGGGCCCAGCACTGCGACACCGCGGCGCCTGCGGGGAAAGGCGAGGAAATCCAGCTCAGGCTGCCCGCGGCTCCGGCCGCAGGTACTCCGAAACCCAGCGGACAGCGGCGGGGCGAGCCCTGGGAGCGGCACCGTGTGTCCCCGCTGCTTCCCAGCCCCGTGCCCGGTCTCCTGGGTGCGGGTTTTCCTCCCGGGGACGCGGCGCAGAAAGCCCCGGGCTCGCCGAGCGCACCCAGCGGATGTTGCATAAACCGTGCCTGTAATTACCCTGCTCCTCTCCGCACCCCTTCCAGGCCGCCCGGGCTTTGCTTTGTTTTAAACTCCGGGACTCCGGGCAGCGCCGGCAGCCCCCCCGCCGCCCTGCCCCAGCCCCTGCCGAGCCGCACCGGGAGCACCGGGGGGGGCCCCAAACCCGGTGCCGGCGGCGCCGCCCGCTGCTGGCTAACGGGGAACCGAGCTGAGCGCTCCGCAGCCCCGCAGACAAAGGAATGCTCGGCCCGGCCCGGCTCGGCTCGGCTCAGCCCGGCCCCCCCCCGCCGCTGCCGGTACCGGTGCCGGTGCCGCCCCGCGGGGCTCACCGGGCGCGGGGTGCCGGCGGGACGCCCCCTCCCAATCCCGGTCCCGCTCCCGGTCCCGTCCCCGCCCTCCCGGGCACTCGGTCGACGGAAACGGCGAGCTCCGCCCCGGTGCTCGTTGCCACGGCAACTCCTGAAGCCCCCCCCGACGGGCGGCGGGGACGGTGCCTTCCCCCCCCCCCTCAGCCCCGGGGCGCACCGGCAGCCCCGGCCCCGAGCCCTCGGGCTGTGCCCGGCACCCCGGGGCCGCCCCGGGCGGGAGGGGCAAGGTCCCAGGAACGGGCTGGGAAGGAGCAGCCGGGGTGTGAGCGGAAAATAAATGCGTCTTCCCCGCCGGCCTCGCAGGTCCGAGGTCCCCGGGAGGTGCCCGGTGCCGGTGCTGCCCCCGCCGCCAGCCCCCAGCGGTGCCCCGAGGACTTGGATTTGAAGGGGGAAAAATCCGGCTTCTGACCCCTGGGTGTAAGGAAAGAGGCGTGATGTGCCCCGAGACCCCTCGGCAGGCTCAGCTGTCAGCAAGTGAATAAAAAGTTCTGCTTTAAGTGTCTTTATCCGCATTTCTAGCGTGAGGTCTGTATCTACCTGCCCATATAGCGCATAGGATTATCATGTTAATGCCTGTTTTGGGAGATGCGTGTTACTCATGACTCGTTAATGGTGATTAACTGGCAATACCAGATACTCCCCGCAGCAGGAAGCAGCCTTGGTCACTTCGTGCCGATGGCCTTGGTCACTTCATGCCAATGACCTGTGCCAGCAGCAGCCCTGTGCTGCCCCACACCGTGCCGTCTGCCTCCCCAGGCACCGTGGCACACCAAGTCACCACGGCACCCCAAAATCCGTGGGCCCTGCACTGGCCTCTCCACATGCTTGGGACCCTGCTGTGGGTGGGGTGCTGGCCTGGGTGGGCGCCGAGCAGGAGCAGGGGCACGGGGGTGCTGTGGTGGCAGCGTCCCTCACAGGTCTGGGTGGGCAAAGAGCCCATGGAGCCCAGGGGGATGGTGAGCAGGACGGTGTGTTTTGTCACAGCCCTGCACTGCTGGAAAGGGGAATGCTGCTCTGCCTGGCAGTGGGAAGCAAGGGGTGAGCTCTTGTTGTGCCAGGGGACCGAGCAGACGTCCTTCGCCTCCCACGCTGCTGTGCTAAATTGTAGTATTTCACATGTCTGGGCACTTTTGGAGCAGGGTTTGGCCTCATCCCTTTGTGGCTCCATCCCGGCAACACCCTCTTGGGCTTCCACCCCTGGCAGAGCCGCGAGGCAGCCCAGGGATGGGAAGAGCGGGACGGCTGGTGGGGACAGACACACTGGGAGCGACATCTTAGTTCAGCGCAGCCACTGCCGATCCTGGCGCTGCCTCCACCTCTGTGCTGCAGATGCCTGCGCAGAGTGCAGAAGGAAAAAAAAAAAAAAGAAAGAAAAAAAAAAAACAAAACAGGGAAAACCTCCCAGCCGCTGCAAAGCGGTGCCTCCCATTTTTTTCAGCTGAGCTTTATTCATGTTCCCAGCGTAGTGCCCTCGGGGTGGACATGTGTGTGTGTCCAGATGTGTGCACATGTGTGCACACGCACGTACAGATGTGTGCATAAGAGCACCCAGCAGTGCAGCGGGTGAAGTGAAATGCAGCGCTGAGCAAAGGCACTGCACTCCCCTGCACCCTGCCTTGCTGCCAGCTGCAGCAGAGCCGTGCATCCCCTGCTCCGTGTGTCTGTCCCCACCGAGCTGGGGGACATGTGGCCACCACCCCAAGCCCCGTGGAGGGCTGTCATGCATTGCTCTGTGTGCTGTGCTGCAAGCCCAGGGACAAGAGAATATTAATTAGGAGCACATATTACTGATTTCTTTGGAAGCGATTTGCAAAGCAGTGCAGGTAATTAAAGGGGTTGCTGAGCTAAACAGGATACGCTTGCTCAAGAGGCTCTGGGGAAGGCTGATGGGGGGGCAGTGCTCAGGCAACGCTGGGTGCATTCCCCCAGTGCCTCACCTGCATTTCCTTCAGACTGAGCTGGGCTGGGCGATGGGCTGGACTTGGGACTGCTCAGCACCCTCTGGTTGCTAATTGCGAAAGAAACATGCAGACTAAGCTAAGGCACAGCAAGTCTGTTGCCAGCAGAGTGAAAGTAACTCATGTAAATCTTATGCAGCAGGCACAGCCTTGTCATGAATACTAAATCTGAAGAGACGGGGAACAATTAGTTGTGATGATTTGCATAAATATACTGTTATCTGTGCAGTTCCTTCGTCTGGTTTGGCGATAATATTGACAGACGAAAAGTTACTTTATACATTCCAATAGCAGCTGTAATTCCATCTTGTCATTGACTTAATTTATGAGCTGTAAGGGTAAAATAATGTTTATGTAAATCGCTTTAACCAGTAAGTAATTTCCTGCCCTTTGAATGCATCAGGTTTTTAATGGTATTGCAATTATGCAATGCACATAAGCTGTATCAATTACATTAAATAAGTCTAAATTAACAAGGCATATCTGCGAATTTCCCCAGTTCAGAAAAATAACTCAGTGAATAAGCACGTAGCAAAATCTGAAATGGTGTTTTGTGCCGGCAGCAATATTCAAAATGTCAGCTGCTGGCATTACAAGGCTGCCCCCACCATCCTGGGGCCAGTTTTAAGAGGGGAAGGTGAGGCCCAGAGGCCCCGTGCACCAGTGACAAGTCCTGGTGTATGTGCCAGGCAGATAAAGCTCAGCCCGAAGGCGAATGTTATTTGGGGCTGAACTCTTAAAAAGCCAGCCTACATTCAGCAGCCTTTCTAGGGCCCTTCCCTTTGTGATCCCACCAGCACGGCACAAGCACATTGACCACCCTGCAGCTGGGGTGTCGTGATGCCACGTGGCGTTGTGTTTTCTGATAGCAGGGGACTCCTGCTTGTCACATGCCACCGCCAACAAACGATAAGGCCGTGTACGTTTCTGTGTGCTCCAAGGACGCCTCCAAGGCGATGTCCTTCCCAGAGCTGTGGCTGCATGGCTATCTGCTCCCGTGGGGCTGAGTGAGACCAACACTAACCTGCAACCTCTGGGGGGATGTGGCTGTGCTGGCCTGGGTTCCCCAGCGAGACTCCGACCTCTTGGCAGCTCTCACACCTCTGGTTTCCCAGCCAGCACCTGAGCAAGCCCCAGGCTGACAACATCACTGAAGGTATTTTCAGAAACACCGCTTTGCAGGCAGGCAGTGGGACCTGCATGCCCAGCCAGGTAGCAGGGAAGACTCGATTTATCGATAGCCATCAGCCCTAAATCAGTGCCCAGCAGCTCACTGGGGGACACGCTGTGGTGGGAGGGCGACCTGAGCGCTCCCAGCCATGAGAGCAGACGTTGTTCAGGTGTGCTGGGTTTGGGTCGTGCAGCATGAGCAGCTCGAGGACGTGCTGTGGTCTGTCGGGAAGCTCTGGCTTGCTCACCTGTGCAGCTGGGCACAGCAGTGGCCACAGCTCTGTGAGCAGCAAGCAGGTGAGCACTGCCTTTGCTTTCTCTTCATGTTCAAACACAGCAGCTCTTGTGCAGCCAGCAAAGCCGGCAGGGCTCAGCTCTTGCTTTCAGAGTGGCCTTTTCCATATCTGCAAACATCCCTGTTTCAGCTGCCAGCTCAAGAAAAAAAATGCACAAACGCATCAGTTGGACCAGCAGAAGGATCGATTTGCATTGGGAGAACAGCAGGAGGGAAGCCTGCCCAGAGCTATTAGACCCATTTTCATCCAGCGTGTGTGCTCAGAGGCCCCTCGGATACAGAGAAATAAGGTGGCTGTGAAGCCAGGCAGGTTAATGCGCATTTTACTTACCCAACAGAGTGCGATGGATTAAGGGAAGCTCCAGCGATCAAAACTCATCACTGACTGGTGCCTTTTGCATTAGTCATTTGTTCTGCCCCAAGCAAATATTTAACCTACATATGTAAGACCTTCAGGGAGACAGCTAAAAAATTCTAGAAAAAGTTTAACTCCCCCCTCCCCTCCCTTCGAGCAACCTGATAGCAGCCACTATCAGCCCAGAAATGCAGGCGGGAGCATACCTGAAGCTGCCTCTGTACTCAGATGCTCCCTGTAGAAAATTCCCACCAGAAGCATCAGATGTAATGAGAATGTGTCCTCAGAGAACAATTAATTATAACCCAGCTCATTATTATAATTTTGCTCCTCCTGGAGAGCCCCGAACAAGGGGATTTCTCTGCATTGCTGCAGCACGGCCAAGCCTACATGAAACGATTAACAAAGCAATAACAAAACCCTGCATTCCTCCATCTGTATTTCACACAAAGATATCCAAGCTCCTTAGCAAGTTTTAATTAAGTCTTAGCATGCTCCTGAGAAATTTGTACTCATTTTAGAGTTCACAGACTGAATTAATTCAGCCCAGAGGCTCTGATGCTGAGATAGGGCAGGTTTGAGCCCTGCACAGCGCCTTGGCTGGCGAGGGGCGTTGCAAAGGTGGCATCAAGCTGCCGTCACAAACACAGCCAGGGCCAACCAGCAACACCCACACAGCCTCCAGGCTGCCCTCATGCTCAATGCCCACAGGCCCCTATGCAAAACTCCCAGAAACTGAATATTTATCCAGGCAAATGCCAACAGTGACATCTTTTTTGACCTTCCATGTTCAGGCAGAAAAAAGATCCACAACCTGCCTTGCACAGGTTGTGGGTGAAGCCCCAGCCTTCTCGCCTCCCTCTCCCCAGCCTTCTCACCCTGTTACATTTTTTGGAAAGCTCCAGGTAAGGCATGGGCTGGGCTTCACCGCTGCAGGCTTGAGCCTCCACTGAGCAAAGCTGGGGCCACTCTGCACAACAGCTCAGCCACGTGTCATGGTGTTGGGCTCCTGCATGCACAGCACCTGGCTGTAGTGCACCCATGCTGCATACAGCTGGGCACCCAGCAAATTCAGGCCGGGATGCTTTACCCAGCAAATAAATGTTAACGCTGCGCTGTAGGGAATCCGTGCCTTGAGCAGGGGGTGCTGGGCCACCTGCCTCCCCCTTGGGCCCCCTGCTCAGGACCCCTACAATCCTTATTAATAAAAACATTGTGTGAGGATAGAAGCTGCAGGTGGGTGACTGGGAATTTTTCAGAGTTTTATTACTTCTGCCATTATTTTCTCCGTGAAGGGAAGACCCTGCTGTGCTGTTGAGTGCCTAACCCTGCCTGGTGAGGAGACACAGGACACAAGTGCCAGGTCGTGCAAAAGCTGCATAAGGGCTCTTTCTGCAGAGGTGAATGTGATAGCAGTGATCTCCTTTAAAAATACATTATCTCCTCAGCAAAACCATTTATTTTCAGTGCCCTCAGAAGTGTGCTTGATTTTGGAGAAGACACGGAGCTAAACTAGTAGATCTGAATAATTTACAGCACAGTTTTGGAGCTGACGTCAGTAGCGGCGCTGTGCCAGGGCTGGAGGGATGCACAGCCTGCACGAGTAACAGACAGCTGGTTTGGGCACAGGCACAGCTCATTAAACACATGGGCTGGATATTTAGCTGCCACAAATTTGTGCAGGGACGTGTGGCCAAAATGCACTGAGATAAATCGGTGAGGGCCTCA